TTCTTACAAGAGCTGGAGAAAATGGGAAGCCTCCTATTCACCGGAAGCTTAATTCCTTTTTCTTTGGCGGAACCATTTAGCTAATGGCGTCAATAACTATCTTCCCTTTTACCTTTTGTCCCTCGCTTCCCCTTCATGGGGGACAATATAGCTAGTCCTATTTGAACTAATAAGAATTCCTCTGCCCCCCGAGCGAAATACACAGTACACGAAAAGAGATGGCCGCCATAGTGCCACTGTCTATCACTTGGAGACACTTATCTGCTCCATTTCAAACACAGAAGAAGCTCAGCCCTTAAGCAAGCAAGGTGGCAAGACATTCTGGCTGAGTTCGATATGCGTATTCGCAGTATAAGGCCAGACGCACGATCTTAGTTTTACTTTTCAAGGCGTCGTGTAAGTTAAAGTATAGTAATATATTTTCAAACGTGATCGACAGTCAATCTTCCCACCATTCCTCCGTCCAGTTCCACTTCCATCTGCAACACAACCTTCTAGCATCTGACTTCTTCTCTTATTTCCCACAGTATTTCTTTTAAATAAAAGATTGCAAGGCCTCAAAGGACCACTCTTCTTAGAATTGTTGCTGGGTCTAGCTAATAGGCTGGCTTGCGTAAGATTATCTCGATCTCTTAGCTGGCCTACCTTCTTCCCAGTATCGGACATTTTTTCTTTTGCCAGCTTAGGCTGATAGGGTTTGTTTTTTCTTACCTATTGATAATGTCTAGGCTTTTCATGCAGCATGATCAAGTTTAGATTAAATGTTGCCCCGGAAAACGAACTATCAGTCTTATCAGCACAAAAGAAAATATATAATTTTTTTGTCAAATGAGCTTGAGGAACAAAGACTTGGCGAGTGAATCGAGTATATGAGAGGTACGTAGTCTGAGTGTCTTATGAACGAAATATAAGCTCAAGTGAGCTCTCTAAGTTGATGGGAGATTCTTATCTTAGTAGAGATAAATGCATGAATAACATTTATAAGTGCAAAAAGTAAACTCAGTTTAAAGTTAATAGCATTATTAAAGTTTGTGAATAAGTGGACAACTTTTGAAGTCAACTCTCTACTCGAACCCAGAATTCTGGGTTCGATCCCCAACAAAGTCGCCAGGCTGAGGACGCGTGATTTTTCCAAAAGGGAAGAAAGAATCAAATCGAACAGACTTGATTGATTTTATTTAATAAATCGATTTTCATTATTTAACCCATTCGTTAATCCTCAGGAAAAGTTTCTCTTACTTTTCTAAGAGTTTTATTTTTAGGAGTTGTTACCCTTATTAGGAAAAATTCTCAAATTAGCTGATTCTTGTAATTGACTAACTCGGTTTTAAACCAGAGATGGGGTCCGAGAGTTAGGTACGATATAGAAAGGTGTTAGGCACCCATATCGCCTGTTTAAATCGGCCTCTTCGCCGTCCATTAATTCATAATTACTCAATAATACTATTAACTAAAAATTGGGATGTAAATACTTTTGATGCAATTTTTGAAAACATGTCAATCATGCAAATTAATGAAACATATAACATAAAATTAAATATCTAAAGAAGGGGGAGGAGAAAAGAATACAAACCAAACCTAAAATACATTCCACCCATTGCCCTCCAAATTTCCCAAATCCCATTAATTATTACAAACAAGCAATAAATGAGACCCATTAAGATCTCTTACATTTTGCCATAATATAACATTAAAGCAAAACAAAATAAAAACATATGTACAATACAAACACAATATAAACATTATTCACATAATCAAAATCATACATCACCGATCATAAAACACTCATTCATCCAAATAATGATTAAATGATGCATGTTTACATTATAAACACAATAAATAAAAGGTTAGTGCAATAATAATCACAATACATTAAATTAAAAAGAGATAGAATAATAAAAGTGCTTAAAGATAAAGAACATGAATTGAAAAGCCAATAATAAAGGTTTAACAAGATTAGAGTTCATGGTCTTGATGTTCATCATGAACGATGAACAAATGTATCAATCACTACTCTCAACCTTATTTATTAGTGTTTATTTGATCCATTTGTAGATAAAAATGCATCCCAGACCATTTAAATTGGAGTTTTGCCACTGGACATTCGAATTGGGACCATTTTATTGATTATTGATGATATAAATCTCTGAATCGAAGGGCCTAGTGCCATAAGGAAAAGTGACGTGCGCCACACATAGTGGCGCCAGACCCTTCCCAGATTAGGAAGGTTTTAAGTAAGAATCGAGTCTAACAGGGATATTCTGGATTGAAGTGGCACGGGCCACTGGTTTGTGGCGCACGCCACACGTAGTGGCTTGCGCCACTACCATTGGTCATGCGCCATAGAAGCATAGAGAATCCCCTTTGCTTGATCCCGAGTTTTCCTCACAACCAGACTCATATGTGGTGTTTAAACACCCAAAAGAAAAAAGGAAAGAGATGAAGAAATGAAGTAAAGGCTCTCAAGTATTACCTTTAGAAATTTCATCAAAGTTTTATGCAATAATGGATAAAGAGACCCAAGGGTTTGGAGTTCTTGATCCAATAATCCAATATTGAGATTTAATAGAAGTGTTTCTAGGATTTCTAGTGGATCCTTAAGGATTTTAGTGACTGAAGATCAATGAATCACTAGTAAGAGCAAAGAGAAACACTAGTTTTCTTTGATTTCTAATTAGAGTTTTCAAATGGCAAGAGTTTTCCTTAGTTTCCAAAAAAATCCCCTTTTTACAGACTCCCTAATCCCTATTTATAGGCAAATAGGATGCGTGGCCCTATTTTAGGGCTGACGTGGCAAAATGCCACTGGTGGGCCCTGAAATAGGGCCAGGGTCTTTCTTTACTAGATCAGACCAGGTGGCACGTAGAAAGAGGCAGTGCACTAGAAAGTGCGACGGGTAGACTCGACATGCTTCTCGGGCCCAGTTTTGTCGCGAAATGCTTGGTAACTCAAAAAAGTAAAAATGGTTAAAGACATGTATTTTCTCAGCCACGAACCATTGGTCCAAGGACCGGGACGATCGAGAATCTCAATCCAAACTTATAAAAAAGGGTTTATCATCACTGAGCCTTTAGGGCCAAAATTTGGACATCTATACATCTCAGATAGCAGCAAAAGTTACTAATTAAATTTCCATTCTTAAAGGATCAATCAAATTGAAAAAGTTGCTTATGCAAAATATTCTAGTTCATTGTAGATCTTATAATTTTTTATTGAAAATATTGTAATTCGTTGAGAAATGTAAAAATTTTATAGACCCAAGAACGGATGAGACTAAAAGGAGAGGAATTTATTTTCTCAAGAGGCTTGCCCAAGAGGAATGAAAGTAAGATCTTCAATCCATAAAAGCTTGTATTAAAGCTAGAAGAATTCATTTCCACTTTCTACTTGCTTATGTTTTATTCTAGGAAATGAAACTTCCTTTTTATCTTTATACAGATATAAATAAGAATCATTACGAAAGAAGTTGACTCTCCCTAGTGGTAATCAGTTCTCAACGACATGTGGGTTGGGATTTCTCTTTTATAAGATATTCTAACCCCCATAGTTGCTAAAGCGAACTCTTACCCCTTGCTTACTTCCTAATCAGTGATAACAACATCATCATTAAGCACTGCCTAACTTAAAGATTGCTGCCCAGGGTAGATTTGTTCCACACACCACTATAATGGGTAAGTAAGAAAAGTGGCCACAAGGAACGAGACCCGATAAATTGACCTGCCACAAAGAATGAGACCGAAGAAAAAAGTCTCTGTACTTTAGAAGAGCACCGCGAATAAGCTAGTGCCGAATTTACATAGACCCCCTGAGAAAGAGAATGAAAGACTTCGAAGAGAAAGACTCAAGGCCCTCCTATCAATTGCTCGTCAATCAACCAATCAATCAAGCTCTATTGATAAGAAGATCCTTTGATCACTTTGAAAGTACCTGCATCAGCTAGTCATAAATTAGCCTAAACAACTGTTGATTGATAGAATGCTTGAATATCCTTTGCTTGCCACCTCTTTCAAGATTTTGCCCTAGTCAGCCTTTAAGAGGTGGACAAGGTGGATCCTTAGACGATGGATGCTAGCTTTAAAGCAGTTTAGGTCAAAGGTACCAGTTGAGATCTAGTTGTGTCATCTGAGAGAATCCCATTTCTTCTTTTCTCTTATTTGATTTAATTTGATTTACTAAGCCCTACGATATGGTTTCTTCCGTCTTCGTGCTCTTATCTTTCCAATTAGATATGCTTTGCTAATTTATTCTAAATTTTTGTTGACAACATAAAAATTTGAATGTTCGAGTTTCCAAGTCAAAGAAATATGTTACTGTTAAAAAGTAATTACTAACCCATTATGTCTACTTAGTATTCCGGCTTACTAATATCTAATGAATAAAGAGCAAATAAATTTCATAAACTTTAATTTTAAAAATTCAAAATAGATAAATAATAATCTTTATTCATTGGTTGAACATAATCATTGTTGGGCTGGGTTTCGATGGGCCTGATCGGTCAATTTTTTTTCTCTAGCTTGAGTTTGAAAAAAATTTTAAAAATTTTCTTCGGGTCTTACTTGGCCAGCATGGACTATGGTGGATATTTATAGATTTTGCTTTGTGTATACATCACCATTCGATCAATTTAAATAATATTTTCAACCGAAATAAATTAGTTGAATTTTTTTTTTTAAACTTAAGCGAACTTAACTAAATTATTTTGATAAAATAAATTTGATTATTAACTATACCAGAAAATTAAAAAAAAAATGAAAACATAACCAACCAAATTTAATTCATTGACTTTTAAAATTGAATATTTATTTACCTAATTGAATTGGTTAAATTAATCGAATTCGCCGAATCGGATCCTAATCTCTGTAGAAATAGGTTTATCACGAGGCCCACTCCCAACCACATTTGAGGTAAAATGATTACCCCAACCGGTTTTTCAGTGGAAGGGCCGGGAATACCGAGCCCGGTCTATCCATTTCCCAAAATTCCAAAATTTTGGCGCCAAAACTCTTAAAATTGAACTCCAAAAATTCGAAATCGCAATCCGAAGCAGCCACAGAAGAGAAGCAAAACTAAATCACAAACGCAAAAATGGCCTCCATCGTCTTCATCGCTGTACAGTGTTGTCAGTGCTCCACCATGCAGGCATCTCTCCTTCTCTCTCTTTCTCTCTCTTTCTGTATTATCTACTTAGATTCAATTCAATTAGATTATTCGAAATATGATTTAGCATATTTGTGTGTGTGTATATATATATATATATACACGTGTGTGTGTGTGTGTGTGTGTGTGTATACAGGTGAAGCAGAAGAAGAAAAGCAGCAACAAATGGACATGTGCGGTCTGCAACCAAAAGCAATCTGTACGGAAAATCTTTGCTCAGGGCTACAAGGCTAAAGACATCCGCAAATTCGTCCAATCCTTCAATATGTCCCGCAATGACGGCGGAGACCATCAATCCCTAACCGAAATAGCTTCGCCCGTTGATTCTGGTAGTCTATTGGAGCATCAACAAAAGAAGAGACGCTGTGATTGGAGCGAGTATCTTGATGTTGAGGAAGATGGGAATAAGGATAATGTAAAAGAAGAGGATGAAGAAGGTAATTAAGATTTATTCTAATAGATTCAGCAATCGAGTATTATCTGATTTAGGATTTTTTTTATTAGAAAATTTTTAGTTATTAAGTGGAGTTTGGTTTAAACGAGTCTTTGTCTATGGCGAATTATGATCAGGAGATGGTTTGAGGTTAAAGATTGTGACAGAGTTGCCACAGGAAATGTTTATGAAATCCAAATTGAGGAAGCATTGCTCTGGTTCTGGTACTGGAGGTGGTGGTAGTGATGATTTATACAGACCCGCGTTCTCAAAGAGGAATATCAAACGGCCTATCGTTTCTCAAGGTAATTGACTGGCTGACCTTGTATCCTATATTCTAAAGAGGACTTGTCAATATAAAGATTCTTATGTTGCTGAAATGCAGAGAAAGAAGCAAAGGAAAATCAGCCTGCAAAGGTCATCGGCTACTCCAATAGAAATGGTTACATGACAAGGAACTTCAAGGAGCAACAAAATCCAACTCAACTAACAATGGCAACAAAAGCTTCTAAATGGAATGCTTATATAGCCCATGATGAGGATGAATTCAAAGCGGGAAGTGGAACAAATTTTGTAGATGAAATGGATCATTGTAGCAATATTGTTTGGGAGGCCATATTGGATAATCAGAAGGTAGAAGATGATATACACCCAGATTTCATTTAAATCTTTCCTAGGAGGTTGGGAGTGTTTTTCTATATCTAGGTAAAAAAATGTCCTCTATTTTGTACTCGATCATCTTGACAAAGAAACATATTATATGATTGGAAAATTTATAAGCACCAATCAGCTATCCTTTGATTAGAATAAGTTCAAGTAAAAGCTAATCACAAAGCATAAGTTAAGTCAAACCACGGAGAAAATTTCATAGCAACATTGTCAATAACTTAAAAATTTGTAAATGCTTGACATTGTCAAATAAATCTAAAAGAATAAAAAGGGAAAAGAAGAATAGAGCCAAAATCCTAACATATAAAAGACACTGTTCAATACTAAATACTAGAAAACTAATTAAGCAGAATAGCCCCAAAATAATGACTGCTCATGAAGCCCTATAAAAAAACAGGGCTAACAGACGACCAAAAAATAAATAACCATGAATTATGCACTTCAGTCATTCAGTCCCAGCGAACCAAGCTGATCACCAACACTAGAAGCACTAGCTTCTCGGAGGACTTGCATTGCTTCTGCCACCTTGTTTTTCAGAGCATCTGGAGACTCGATGAGATGTAGGACCTCTGTTTGATCCATCTCCAACAACATTCCAGTCACCTTTGCTACATGATCTGGCTCAAGGCGGTTCACAAGCGGATAAAGCTGGCTACCCAGCATCTGAATAGAGCACAACAAACAAAAGCAATTACATTCATGAATTCATCAATAACCTGCATGAAGACTGACCTGTTGAGCCAAGCCTGCACTTGGAAATTGTCAAAAATTCCCAAAGGCCCAGCCAGCTATGTCCACAATTTTCTTCACAAATTGAGGCACACAACAAACTCAGGAACACGTGTTGAAGAGAACCCCAATGAAGTACAGACAATATTACTAAATACCTCATTTCGGGCCTCTGGTGCAGCAGAGGCCAAAGCAGAAGCAAGAGATGACATGGTAACTGGCTGCAGAGTATCAACAGGAGTTCTTGAAGCCTCAAACGGCAACGGCATCATTGAACCCACTAAACCTTGTGGAACAACAGATGAGTCTATGCCATTCCTTGTATTGCCCATGTATCTCACGCCTTGATTATTATTACGCAAAAGCTGAATTTGTTAAATGAAGAAAATATCAGACACGGATGAATAAAGCAGAAACCTAATCTGTAATCCAATCAGTCTCGGAAACCTTATATGCGTGTGTGTGCGCCAAGGTCAGAACTAACAACCGACAAAAAAATTGAATATACCATTCAGCATCATAAGAGATGAATTTCTATGTGTCCACATGATTAACAAACCACAGAGAAACATAGAAAATATTCATATGTGATAGGCTAAGAGGAAATATGTTGAATATTTTAAGAATAATGCACCTGCTGCTGCTGCATCTGCTGTGGGTTCCCACCACGCCGCATTCCCATCCTCTGCCCAGTTTGACCTTGTCTTTGAATGTGATATGGCATAATAAAATTTGGAGCAACACCAGGGCGCACACCTGGCAAGAGTTGTTGCTGGAAGCCATAGCCTGCATGCTGAGGGGTAATCATACCAGGAGTCCCTTGGCCAAAGTAAAGCTGCTGTGGTGCAAGCCTTGGTGCCCCTGGGTGATACCCAGGAATCCCTGAAGTTAAAGGGGAAAGTCCACCTGGAGCTCGAATCTGAGCAAATTGTGCCTGCAAAAAAACATGATTATGAAGGTAACCTATCAGATTTCAGATGTAGAATGAAAAGGGACGAAATACCCAGAATGCAAGAGTCTAACATAAGAAATGAAAATTATCACATAGCTTTAAAATCTTAATTGTTAGAATAAAAAGTATAATAGCAATGAACCAAACTCGAGTTTGGTATTAGCTTAAAGCAACCGGTTAATATAAAAGCTGCTCAGAGGTCCAGTTTTACATGTTCTTGACTTCTTGTGCTTGATAATCAAGAACACGTCATATAAAATGAATAAATAAAAGAATAGGCAAGTTGCTGCCAGCAAAGGATATGCTTGATTGCAACATTCTCAAAAAGTATGAAAGCAATGAACCAAAACTCAAGTTTGGTTTTACTTAAACCAAACTCAAATTTGGTTTTACTCTCATTCCAAACTCAGAGGGAGGGAGGGGGGATAGGGGCAGAGTGTGACTGTATACGCTATCAAAATATACATTCCAAAGTACCACCTGAAGTCGAGCCTTCCTTTCTTCCTTGCGTTGAGCCACAGCAACATAAAGAGGTTTCCTTCCAATCATCTTTCCATTCATTTCATTCAACTAAACACCAATTAGCAATATCAAATTATTACACAATAAAAGGAATATAAAAAAGCTGAAAGATAGAGGGAGGGGGGGAGGGGAGAGAGAGATAGAGAGAGAAGGGGGAGGGGAGTCAGGGGAGCAGATAAGAATTCAGGAACTTACAGCTCTTGAAGCTTCCTCAGGTGTAGAAAAGGCAACAAAACCAGAGCCCTTGCTCAAACCTTGATTATCAAGCATGACCTGAAATAATTATTTGGATATGAGAACCCAAAACAACACATACCATTCAAACCATAATAGTATCGTAGAACATAATGGTAATAGTCATCACATCATAATTATACTTAAATGTAAAACACACCTTGCATGAAGTTATAGACCCAAACTCAGAAAATAATACCCTCAACTTTTCATCATCCACGGTTTCATCAAGATTTTTCAGATACAAATTTGCACCTTTAAGTTTTTCATATCTACTAATTCTTTCCTGCTCAAACTTGGCTCTCAACTCTGCCTCCCTTTCTAATTTCCTTTGGGCCCTCCCAACATACCAAGTTTTGTCATCATTGAAGGTGGTCCCATTCAGCTTCTCAGCAGCGGCAGCAGCAGAATCTGGGTTTTGAAAGTTAACAAAACCAAAACACCTAGACTTGCCATTCTGATCCCTCATAACTACTGCACTGGTGATGGTACCATACACACTAAAAACTTTCTTAAGGTCCTCGTCAGTAGTACTCTCAGACAAGTTTTTGACATAAACATTGGTAAACTTGGGTGACCCGTTAGCCAGATTCCTTTCTTGGCGCCGAACAAAAAGTCCAACATAAACTTGCTTATCATTTATCAACATGCCATTCAACCGTTTAATGGCACTTTGTGCAGCTTCCTCATTTTCAAACTGTACAAAACCATACCCTCTAGATTGCCCATTGCTATCAACAGCTACCTTGCAGGAAAGGACTGTCCCAAAGGCAGCAAAAGTATCATGCAATGCCTTGTTATCGATGGTAGTGTCCAGGTTCTTGATGAAAACATTGGCATATCCACTTTTTCTAATACTAGGATCTCTATGTGAAAACATAATCCTGATAGGTTTCCCATTTAAAGGCGTGAAATTCAGAGCCTCCATAGCTTTGGCAGCTGCAGTTTACAAATCACAATGTGAGCTAGTACTACAGAAATTATGGATAAACAGTACATGAGATGGAAATTGGTGATTCCATTTTGAGATGGGAATTTGTAAAAATCGTTAAGACTATAGAAATTATGGATAAACAGTACATGAATCATACACCTCAAAAACACAAAGAAAGAAAGAAAGAAAGAAAGAAAGAAAGATTTGCAGTGATATTCAAATTCAAAAAATTTCATAATGAAGTTTTCTTGTTATCAGCAAGTCCTTTAAACGTCTTAGCACTAGAATAACTAACCTTTATATCATCCAAAAAATATTAGAGTCAATTATGCATTCAGAAGAACTTAATGCTTGGTCCTTTTATACTAGTTACAAAGACAGCCGCCCTCCCCCGGCCCCCAAAAGCCCAACACAAACACACAGAGGTCAGAGTATCATAATAAGGACCTGATTAGATTTTCAATGACAACGAAATAATTTTTTTTTTTTAAAAGTGTATTAATAAAGTTACACCTTTTATCCTTTTCTCATTACCAACTTCCTAGCAAAAATAAAAATAGATTATATTCAGTATTCAGGCTACAAAACTCCCAGCAATAATCGGTAGATATATCACAACCTTAAAACAGAAAAATCAAAAGGTTCAAAGATCAATATCGACAACACACTGACACACTCATCACAAGTAAAACACTCAATTACATAATCAATACTGCAAACTTCTCTTGGATCAATATTTTAAACCAAAAAGAATAGTCTTTTTTGTCATAATTACGACTAATACACTCAAATTATTGATAAATGAGGGGCAATTAACACGTAACTCAAATTAACAATCACAAAATTATGCACTCACAAAACCGACATGCATTAAAAATGGATTACCGTCTTGAGGATTGCTAAAATTGACATAACCATAACCAAGCGAAGATCGCTTGGCCTGATCCCTGCAAACCCTAACAGAAACAACCTGCGCAACCTGACTAAACAGATCATACAATTGGCTATCACTGACGTTCTGCTCCAGATCCCCAACATATAGTGACAAATTCGAAAACGGCCCCGTTAACGGGACTACCGCCGCAGTAGGTGTCGCAGGCAGTGCTGCTGCCGCCGCAATCGCCGCTGCCATACCTTCTCCTCACAAAGAAACACTCAGAAAAAATCAAAAAAAATTAAAAAAAATAGAATAATGAACAAGAATTTAGGATAGAATATATCAAGAAATATTGATGAATTCCAATCTAGATAAGGAATGGACTTTTATTTTTATTTTTATTTTTTTTTGTTTTTTGATTTTTTCCTTTCTTTCTCTATGAGAAAGAGGAGGGAGGAGAGAAGGGAAACAGAGGGAGGTAGGGGTTTATATAGGTGATAGAAAGAAAGGGACAGGTTTCGGTTCGATTTCTCTGTGCTGTGCCGTCGTGGCGTTTGAGGAAAGTGAACCGCACGCGTGTTTTTGATGACGTGGCATTCTATACATTGTTTATCATGTGTCCCCTTCGTTTCATTTCCTTCGCCTCGAGTTTTTGTTTTTTTTCTTTTGTCGTTTTGTTGTTTGGGTTCAGTTCTCTGGCTTTCAGATTTGCTTTTGGCATTCTACGAACATTTGGTTTCATTCTATCCTCATTGTTTAAGCATACTGTTTGTTTATTTATTTATTTATTATTATTTTAATAAAGAAGCGTACTGTGGATACAATTTTCCTTTTTTTAATGTTTAATTATATTATATTTTCTTTGATAAAAAAAAAATTGTACAAATGAGTTCCTAACCTTTTGTCGTTTTTGCCCAAAAGATAGAAAAACATGGTAGGTTAAAATTTCTAAAAGATAAAAGGATCTAAAATTCTAAATATTCAATGACATAATGTTGGAATTGTATCATCAAAAAATTTTTTAATTCTTTGTAAAACTTGATAATCTCATATTCTAAACTTTTCATTTTCATTTTAGGAGCACATTCGATTATTATAATTGATTATATTTTCTTTTTCAAACAAATAATTTTAAAAATACTGAATTACTATGTTTGAGTATAAATAAAAGATTTTTTATGGAAATATAATAATATTATTGTAGTTTTTAAAATATCTTATTTCTATTTTTTTTTTCTTTTTGAGAAGATCTTATTTCTATAATTGGAGCTCACACATTCAGGGATTTGACCTTTTTTTTCGTTTATCAAAAATCGGAATATTATGTTTCTAAATCATTTTTCATATGAGATCCTGACAACTAAATATTCTTTAAGATCAACCTAAGTTCTACTCAAAAAAAAAAAAAATCAATCTAATCAATATTTTTTTAAAATAAATCAAATTAAAAATTCGATTAAGAGGAAATTGGGTACAGATTTGTGATACGGATCAATATGTTTCTATATTTTTGTATAGAAAATCTAATAATAAACTACTTATAAAAAAAAAAAAAAACATAATCTTGATTTAAAATATCTGATCGAATTGACAGAACATAATATTTATGCCATAGGCGATCCCTCACTCCACTTGGTGGCTATTCATGACCACTGTTCGATTCCATAGTCTTTCTACAAGTCCTATCTGACTACCTTCAAATTTCTTCTTTCTATTAGAGATAAATCTACACTTTTTTCTACATAATTATCCAAATAACAAAAAACGCTAGACAAAATCACCGTAATGATGGTAACAATAACTCAAAACTAGATATGAGAACAAAATCCCAAAATATGGGAAACGATAAATCCTAATATATGGACTGCAATAACTCAAATCTGTATATAAATATGATGATTGTTTGTGAAAAAAAATAAATAAATAAGAGAAAGGGGTGACCACCGGTGAAAGCTCACCGGTAGTCGCCCGTAGGAGTGAGCAAATCGTGGATATAAACAAAAATCCAAATCGGATCGAGTAATTTTGGTTTGGTTCGGCTGCTAATAAATTAATTTTAACCGGTAATAAATTAGTTTGGCTACTAATTTTAAATCCAAGACTGGCCTAGCTGATTTAACAGGTAAAATCAAGAATCGGGACGGTTTATTATTAAGGTGCGTTAACTTAATCTAAAAGTATATTATTAAGGTGCGTTATCTTAGCTATACGAATTAATTCTTAAACAAATTATTTATTTCAATATTTTATAATAATTACATTTCTCTCATTTATTACATCACTTCTTATTCAATATTTACGCTGCTAACAAATATAATTATAATTTATTCAATAAATTTCTTTTTTCTATCTTATAGAATTTTATTTCTCAAATTCAATATTTTATTTTTATTTAAAAATAATATTATTTAATATTCTCAACTTTTTTATAAGGTTCAGAAGTTAAAAATATTTGTTTAATTTATCATGAGTAAAATTTATTGATGATTACTCTAATTAACATTATTCTTATAAAAATAATTATCATTGTTTAAGATTTCATTAGTATTCATTGTATTTAACATTTAAAATATTATAATATAATATTTTATTTTCAATTGTTTGCTAAAATTATTATTATAATGAAATTTAGCTATTATAATATTTTATTGGGATAATATTAATTTTGGTGCTTGTACTTGTCATATTTTTCTATTTTGGTGCCTGAACGAAAAATTGTGACAATTGAATATCCAAAATTACATTTTTTTTTTCAATTTTGTGTCTCTTGTTGACATGGACAACCGAAAAATCTAATGGGACTAATTGGGATGCACACATGCCTATGTGTCACTTACGTGGACTAACACTTTTCCACGTAGATTGACAGCGTGACAAAATCTAACCTAATCACAATTCAAAGCAAAGCCTTCCTTTTTTCTCTCTCCTCCGCTCCTCCGCTGTTCTCCTAGGCAATGGCATACACTTGGCTTGAGAAGGTTCACCTGAAGCGCATGACCTTGATGGATGATCATCTTGTGCCGCTTGCAGAGTCATTTTTGAGATTTAAGGAGCTTGTCCTAGTGTGTTGTGATGGGTTTGACACTAGTGGGCTTCTGGGGTTGCTAGTAGACGTAGGTATATGGGTTTTTGATTTTATACTAGTATGTGTTTATTCATTGTATTTAACATTTAAAATATTATAATATAATATTTTATTTTCAATTGTTTGCTAAAATTATTATTATAATGAAATTTAGCTATTATAATATTTTATTGGGATAATATTAATTTTGGTGCTTGTACTTGTCATATTTTTCTATTTTGGTGCCTGAACGAAAAATTGTGACAATTGAATATCCAAAATTACATTTTTTTTTTCAATTTTGTGTCTCTTGTTGACATGGACAACCGAAAAATCTAATGGGACTAATTGGGATGCACACATGCCTATGTGTCACTTACGTGGACTAACACTTTTCCACGTAGATTGACAGCGTGACAAAATCTAACCTAATCACAATTCAAAGCAAAGCCTTCCTTTTTTCTCTCTCCTCCGCTCCTCCGCTGTTCTCCTAGGCAATGGCATACACTTGGCTTGAGAAGGTTCACCTGAAGCGCATGACCTTGATGGATGATCATCTTGTGCCGCTTGCAGAGTCATTTTTGAGATTTAAGGAGCTTGTCCTAGTGTGTTGTGATGGGTTTGACACTAGTGGGCTTCTGGGGTTGCTAGTAGACGTAGGTATATGGGTTTTTGATTTTATACTAGTATGTGTTTATAAACGTTATAGTTTATGTTAGTAATGAATAGAGTAAATTTGATTATAGTGTTGGTTTTTTTCAAAAAGTTTGAAACTTTTCTGGGATTTGTTTATTTTGGTTGTTATTTGTAATTATGTGTCAAAGTCTAAGTTGAAGAATTTGATTAGCATAATAATTTTCTAGGTTCACATTTGTAGAAGGCATGCTTAAATCTGTGTTATAGCTTGAAAATGATCAAAAGTTTGTTCATTAAGGTTGGGATTGTTGGTTCTGATCTATTTTATTTATTGCGTTTGACTTAGGTTAGAGTTTTGGAGAAAAAGGTGTTTGGGGGTAATAAATTGGGGTAAATGGGTCATATTTCATAATTTGCCATGTTGTTAGCCTACATGAAAAAATGTCAATCCATGTAAGCAAACACATAGGCATTTATGGGTCCCAATTATCCATTAGATATTCTGGATGTCCATGTTAGTAGATGACACTAAATTAAAAAATATATATATATATATGTTTGGACACTAAATTGTCACAATTTTCTGTTCATGCACCAAAATAGAAAAAAACAATGACAAGTACATGCACCAAAATTAACATTATCCTTATTTTATATCCTAATAAATTTTATTATTTTAAATTTATTTTCTTTCACATATATGATTTGTAATAAAATTTATTAATTTTAAAGTATTTTCTATAATATTTTTACATGTATCGGCTTCTCTGCCTCAACCTTTGCTTATCTCTTCTCAATCTCTCCTCAACCATCAATTTTAACATTTTGCTTAGCTTACAGGTTCTTATTGTTTTCATTTTTTGTATAATAAATTTCTATTTTTGATCATTATTGTTCTCTCTCCTCCAAATTAAAAGTTATTTTGATGGATTTTGCATTTTGATTGCAAATCTACTATGAGTTTACAAAGAGGGAGTAGTAGGTGAAAGAAGTAAGATTTGTAAAAGGGAGAGAGTTTGAGAGTAGTAGGTGCAAATTTGCTCTCCTTCGAACTTTTCTGCCTCTTCATAATTAAGGACGTGAAAAACTGATGAAATTCCTTTTTTGTCTTGGTTTCACATAGGGCTTTGATCATTGGTTTTATATTGATAGTAGAGAATCGACTTGACAGTCATCAATCTTTCCCTAGACATGAATTTCTTTAATTGGTAATGACTTTGATCTCATTGCCTGTTTGGTGTTATATTATTAGTCTAATTATTGTTGGGAGAATACAATTCAAGTGTCTTCGATTCAAAATTATTATTGAGAAAATATTAGGGCTTGGTTGAATTGGAGAGAAAGAAACAATGTTATTACATTAACTTTGAAACGACATCATTTTTATAATTTAATGAATTTCTCATATTGGTGACATGCATCTCTATTAGTGTTGATTCATCAAGTTGTGGGCCTATTAACGACCATGTTAGCAAGCTTCTAATAGTTCTTAGACGAAGGCTATAATTGCTACAAAAAACAAATTTAATGATACGATTGATAAAATTATAAAATTAGTTAATATGGAGAAAACTTCAAAGTTTAAACTTTTTTAGTTGTTTAAGCATAATATAAAGATAGAAATATACTAAGCTCGATGCCTTTATAATTTAGAGTTGAACTATTATTATTTAGAAAAACTGAATTATAAGTTTTGATTAAAATTTTCCTACTAAAAAAAATTTGAATCTCTCAAAAAGAATTTTTAAAATTGTTCCTAAAGAGGA